TTTCATATATGGTGTTCATTAGTTTTGTCAGTGTTTTCAAACCACCTTCTCCCAGTAACTTGAGCACATCTCCAGGTACATCATCATCTCCTGTAGCCTTTCCCTTCCTCATTTCCTTGATAGCTTTCTCCACCTCACTTTGTAAAATATATGGTCTTTTCTCGTCTGTATCTACTTCTTTTTCCAGTTCAACTTCTAAGGTTTCTGGCCGATTAGGTTGATCATATAGTTCTATAATATAATTTAAATAGTAATATCTATACAAAATAACCCAATAATGCCTAATTATAAAAGTACCTGTAATACATCTTACAAGTACCTACTTCATAGTATTTAAAAACGTTATAGCCCAGATAATCAAAATTAAGTAAAGACTGGCAGTATGAAGATGAAACAACAGTGCATACTGAGACCCACAGTGTAGGAGCATCTGATATATGCAATATACCTGTAATCACTTACATTGGTAAAATATAAATTGCAACATACAAAACAACTTAATTTTTAAAATTTTAATTTTAATTATACATAATATTAGCAACAATTTGAAAACTGAATCCAATTCCTAATGAACCTTTAATAGCATTACCATTTTTGTAATTTTAGATTTTATTTATATAGATTTGTAAACTGTGACCACATGAAGATGATCTGAGGTATTAAGTCATGTGTTGGTACTAAATAATAAACAGCTATTATTATATTGTCATATGGGGGCATACAGTAGCATAGTTGGTTGAGGCACTGTGCTACAAGCCAGAAGGTCACGGGTTCAAGTCTCAATGAGGTTGATTTTTCAGTTGACTTAATCCTTCCAGCCACTCTGTGACCCTTGTGTCAACTCAGCCTCTGAGAGAAATGAGTACCAGGAGTCTTTCTTGGGACTAAAGGGCAGCTGGTGCATAAGACTGACTTTACCACCATCTGTTAGCAGATTTTGACAAAATATGGGAGCCTCAACGTCTTACAACCCTATGGGCCTTCACGGCCTGTTACAGGAATAGCTTTACCTTTTATTATATTGTCATATATTATACAAGTGGTTTGTTATATTGACACATATAAAGACATTTATAAATACATTATTATACAACAGGATGCAAGTGCCAAACTTGAAACTGTAACCTAGCTGAGGAAGTGTGAATTGTATGAAAATACTTGCAACATGAGCAGAGGCATTTTTGAGGTGTCTTTAGATAGACTCACAGAGCAAGAAAGAACAGCTGCTTGGAGGGAACAACATAATTCCAGGACTTTCCCATTCTTGCTACCTATCACAGGACAGTTAGTAAGCAAACCTGTCATTTAGAAGTGGATTTTTGGTGATACAAGAAGCCTCTAGAGGCATTTTAGACACAGAAGGTGATCAAGTTCTGTTCCAGAGAATATAATAAATTTTCGATACTACCATTATGCAATGAGACAACATATGAATGTGTAAGCAAACAAAGGATAAATGAAATTAGATCCCATTGGTGCATATGCTTTTTTTTGTGGGGATCAAGTGGTAAGGACTTGAAGGTGGACCTTAAGCTTATATCTATGAGGTGCTATTAGAAAGTTTCTGGACTAGGTAAAAAAAATGCTATCTTAACTTACTCAATTTTGTCTGTCATCTCCTTCAAAATAGTCTCCTTGGGAACGTGTACAATGATCCCATCATTTTTTCCATGCTCCAGAAGCAACGTGGAAATCATTTTCCTTCATGCTGTCAAGTACCACTTGCGATTCTGTTTGGATGTCAGACACTGTTCCAAAACGTCATCCCTTGCGTTTCATTTTCAATTTAGGAAGCAAAGCGAAATCACAGGGAGCTAAGTCCGGTGAGTAGGGAGGATGGGGAACAATAACCGTGTTGTTGTTAGTCACAAACTCTTTGGTTTTCAGGGATGTATAGGCGGGTGCGTTGTCGTGATGAAGGAGCCAGTTGTGGTTGTGTCAAAATGTCCAGTCTTTTTTGTCGCACATTTTCTCTCAAGTATCTCAAAATGTCACAGTAAAAGCCGTAGTTCACCATAGTGTTAGGAGGAACAAATTCACAGTGAACAGTTATCTTCATGTCAAAAGAAAACAATGAGCATGCTCTTTGTTGAACTCCCGACCTGCTGCTCCTTTTTTGCTCTCAGTGATTGTATATGCACCACTGCTTTTGATCATTTGTCAAGAGTCAAGGAAGAGACTTTGTGGCAGGGCATCGCATGTTCAGATTTTGTGTTAAGATCTCCTGGCAAAATCCATAACTTATCTCAGTGGTGTCTGTGAGCTCATGGAGTTTTCAGCGGCGGTCTTCATGGATGAGTTCTTGAATCTTTTCAACATTTTCTGTCATTTTGCTGGGGCTTGGTCACCCTGAACGTTTGTCATCTTCAACTGACACTCTACCGGCCTTGAAACATGAATGCCATTCAAAAATTGCTGTCTAGCTTGAAGAGTGTTCCCCTAAAGCCTCGTGAAGCATTTCAAGGGTTCTGATAGCAGATTTACCGAGCTTAATGCAAAACTTGATGTAGACACGTCGCCCGATTTTACCATCCATCACAGACAAAATGAAACATGAAGTCGGAAAAGCACTTTTGTAGAAACTGTGCATTTTCACAGTGCGGTGTCACGTGGCAGACTGATGCAGTAGGCTTGCAGAAGTGTGACCTTGGCTTCCTCTCTCATCTTTCACTGAGGCAGTTACAACAACATCAGTCTGGGAACTTTCTGATAGCACCTCGTAGAATACATAGAGATTATTTGTCTATGTCTTAGTATGCTTTCAAGACATGTTAGCCATTTTATTTCCAGAAGATGCACAAATTTGCGTTAAAATTCTCAGTATTGCTGTTTCAGAAATCTCAAAGAGGTCCATGAAGTCAGATTACAACTGGATCCGCACCATCATGAATAAAGGAACAGTTGCAGATAGAGTTGCTGCTCATACTATTGCCATTCAAGACTCTCCAATCCACACACTTTCCTTGCTTCAGAATCTTGTCAGTATGGTTAAAGTTATTAAGAAGAAGGAGTGTACTATGGTTCTAGGTAGGAACCAGCTGGTATTTAGGCATGAGGCAAATTCTGCACTGTCAGAATGCATGACATAACACAATGACAAAAGATATTGTTTCCTGTTGGCCACTTCAATCTTGTTCAAGTTTTCACATTTTGTTTCTCAGATTTTGTCATCCAGTTGTAACTTTTTTCAAAGTGACTGCTTCTTTTTTTTCTAGGTATGCTACCAGAATTTTTATGTATTTATTGTGTTCAAGTTTTGTAGCCAGTGTCCATGGTATAACCACCTCAGTGATGCTAACAGAACCATATGAAGTTCCACACTGTTCAGTTCCCAGCAATCCCTTTTTAGGACACAAAGAAAATTTTGCACCTAAACTTTGTTGATTTGACATTGAATGACTCATATGGAAACTATACTCCACTACATACAGTATTGCAGCTTCCCAGTCTTTTTACTTCAGTCTTATCCCAATGAGGTGAATTTTTTCAATCGACCTAATTCTCCCAGCCTCACTGTGGCCCTGGGGTCGACTCAGAGTCTCTAACAGAAATGAGTACCTGGAATATTCCTGGGGATAATGGGCGGCCGGCATGTAAGGCTGACAGCCTCACTGGCATCTGTGAGCTGATTGTCTAGGAAATGTGGGAGCCCCAAGATCTCACAACCATATGGCCCTCCAGGCCCTGTTGCAGGGATAGCTTTTCCTTTTTGCTTAGTTATGTCCAGATATTCTTAGTGGTTTGTTTCAAAGTTAATTAAAATTACCTCAGTCCATGCAGTGCTTTTTTTTTAAGAATATCCTGATAACAAAGATAGCTTCATGAAACATCTGGTCTTAGAGAGTTCTTCCTGGCTATCCCTTTTATTATTACTGGTTTGTTTGTAACTGTTCTGTTTGTCTGCTGCAGATACCCTGACAGAGCTCTTCCTATCTGATCTCTTACGACCAGATCAGAAACTTAGAGAATTTGAGAAATGCCCTCTCTCACTCCTAGACAAATACAGTTCTGGTAACCATGTGAGCAGGAAGTCACGTCTCATGCACTGGTACTATGAAGATCGACTGAAGAAATTGTATTACAGTTTTGTCCTAGCACTGAATACCGCAGCACAAGACTCAGTGGAACGGAACAAGGAGAAAGCACTAACAGCTATGTATAAGCTTCTCGCTGGAAATCCTGAACAAGAAGCAGTAAGCGCAGCTGCATTACACAGAGCAGTATCTTATATCACAGTTATGTTGGACATTGTCCATTGTCTGATATATTCTTAATATGTGCAATGTTTCAGAAGTTAGCTCAACTTCTATTTTTAGATAATTGATTGTCGTTATAGTGATCAAAATAAGAGCAAAGAAAAATCTTGTTTTAATGGTGGCCACTCACCACAAGACAGAAACAGTAAAAATTCCTTAAACATTATGTGTATTAACTTATATCCCTCAAATAAAATTACACCTGCATTCCTGCACACATCTGTGAGTTATTTTTACAGAAGTGTGAAGAAACGCTCTTGGACAGTGGCCAGTAGTTCAGTATGTTGCCAAAAGATGGCATAAGCAGTATATTTAGTTATAAAGTCAGTGGCCTCCGTAGTCTAGAGGTAATGTTCCCACCTCATGACTCGTAGTACGCGGGTTCAAATACCCCGCGGAGGTCGTCTAATTTTTAAGGGCAGAAAAATTCAGGGAACAAGTCCTCCGGGAGGGACTTTAAGCCGTTGGTCCCATGTCGTAGCTTTACGGCATGTAAAAGAACCTCATATCTCCAAAGGAGGTCACTGAGCCAAATTGTGGACGTTTCCCGCCCAACAGCAGTCTTTAATACCTCTGGTAGATGGAGGAAGCATTATAGATACCTCTCAGCCAATAGAGCCGGTCTCGCTGGCTGGGCGGGACTGATGGTAAGTACCAATACCGGTAGGATATAGAGACTGGTAGAAATCATAGAGGGAAGCACAATGGACCATTACAGGTCTAAGTGCATGGGGAAACCCACCCTCTCCAAATAACTAACTAACTAGTTATAAAGTCATCTGCTAGCAACTTACATGGGATCAAATAAGACAGAACTCAAAATATGTGGCTAAGAAATTCCTAATGTCACAGCTCTTCCAACTGTGTGGGGGTAAGGGTTAAAGATAGATCAGATGAGGGATCATGTCCAGCATAATTGCAGCATTATGAATCGACACAGACATTTGGAGGGAAAGCCCCTATAAATTATTTGTGATAAAGAAGTCTTCACAACCAGGATGCTCTTGGTTCTTGAGTGTTACATTATAATGGTTAACATTCTAGTTTTATTAGAGGGTATTCCTGGTTAATGCATTACTAAGAAACTGACTGAAGTATATCACGTTTCTCCTCAGTCTCTCCAGCAGCAACCTCTCAGGCAAGATTTTCATTTTTCCCCTTATTAGTGACAAAGAAAATGAAGATGATGACTGGTAGATGGGACTTAAAATTTAATGCGGGCATAATGTTCCTCTGATTGGTTCTGAATGGTTTTTGAATCTGTTAACATTAATAGATAGAAAAGATGTAAAACATCATTATTGTGAAATTTCACAAAATATGATAAACTATACATAGCATGAAATAGCTCTTTAACTTCGGTTAAATCTTTTTTAAATGAGATATGTTTCATGTTATCAACAGAAAAGTTTCATTATGCTAAATACAAATTTTGCTGCTACATTGTCCTGCTTGATCTGGAGGGATTGAAGTAAATCGTGAAGGCAAAGTCTGTGGTGTAACATCCAGTCTTTCAAATAAAGTAGCATTAATAATTAGTGAAATGTAGACTGAATTCATAATATGAAGTTCTCAGCCTTTGGTACAAAATTTCATAAGGATCTGACATGGCAGTCAGGACTTGGAAAACTAAGGATACACAGACTGTCAAATGAATGTACATACATTGTGCTTATTGAGTGTCATGTTACACATGCATACAGAATTCCAACAAAAGTGACCATAGAAACTCAGAATGATTATTGTTTTTATTGCAGCTGCTTCTTAGAAATCTTGTTAACAAGCTTGGTGATCCAAGCCAAAAGGTTGCATCCAAAGCCATCTACAGTCTGATCCAGTTGTTGCAGGTTCACCCTAACATGAAATTTGTAGTTATGGAAGAAACTGAGAAATTACTCTTCAGGTAAACCAGGCTTATGCCACTCCCAATAACCAAGTTTTACTGAATATAACACAGTTCTCTGCTAATTATGTTAAACAAAGTGTGAACTGAAGTTGTCTCCCCACATACAACTTTCACAGAAACAACATAAAAGTTCAAATCTCGGTTTTGCTGTTACATCTCATGGATATAATTTAAATAAAATTGCATACAGGTTGAAAAGGAAAAATTATCTTGTTTTTTCATGGCTCACCAGTGCTTTACAAATTGAGGTGGTTAACATAGAACTTCAAAAAGCGGGTGAAGCCATCATAATCAGAAACAACAGACTCTAACCACTGGACTGTGACAAGTTAGCAGAAGACAGTATTATTTCTTGTATAATGTTTTGTCAGGAGCCAGAATACTGCAGTCAGTATAGTGGCTGGCTGTGGGCTGGAAGGCCAAGGGGTCAGAGTTGATCCCCAGGAGATGCAGGATTTTTCTCCTCTTCACATCATCCAGACTGGTTCTAGGGCCCAGCCAACCTCCTATCCAATGGGTACCAGGGTCAAGCAGCTGGGCCATGAGGCTGACCACTCACCTCCAACTAGTGCTGAGGTCAAGAATATGTGGATCTCTACATCCACTCCCCCACACATCTTCATGGCATAGTACTTAATTAATTATACACAGGGGAAACTTTACCTTTATAATGTTTTGTGTTGTTATCAGTATGCAGCTCCTCACAATATGTTGAAACTGTTCCAGACCCAACATTAGCCATAAAGCTCAGTACTATGGGATATGCTTCCTGTCACAGTTCCTGTTGTCTAATGATGAAGCTGAACTGGCCAGGAGTCTCATTCATATCTACTTTTCCTTCTTTAGAGCATGTGTGAAAAAGGTAAGGAACTAGCCATCATTTGTTCATGTATAGCTGATGTTCTGTATACCCTGGTAATAATTATTTTATAATACTGTCACGTTTTGGGTGTGTCAGTGAATCTTTATTGGACACTCACACTTATACACCATATGATTATCACTGCTTGTGGTATCATGTGATTTCTGCGATGTCTCTACTAGGTTCCAACTGTGTTGTATGAAGGCTAGGTCCCAACTGCATTGTATGAAGGCTGGGTTCCAACTGTCTTGTATGAAGGCTAATTAGCTCTGTGTGGTCTGTAGCTCTGTCGCTCTTGGCTTATGTAGGTGTTATGCAGACCGGATACGAGACACCATTCGCCAAGGTTCGATCTTATGTGTTCGGCAATTCATTGCTTCGGGAATGCTCTTTATACACTGGTAACGAGTTTCGTCTCATCCATTGTTACTCAACGGCAATTCGTCGCTACAATTTGTCACCCTTGGATCTCCACAATTTGCATTGTAGCCATTGCGCGGCGATGGACGTAAGATAGCTCGTCACATTGCTCCCTTCAAAAGGTTGTTTGTCCCCGAACAGCCCAACGGTTCTTCCTTGGTTTCATTTCCCAAGGTGTTCACCTTCTGTGTGTTACTTCCACCTCTTCTTCGGTGTTTTTCCTTCCTTCCATCCGCCCGCCTTCTTCCAGAGTGCTCGCCCCGAACACTTCCAAGGTCCAGCAGTTGTCGGTCCCATTGTCTCACATTCATTCTTCACTTTCATTCGTCACACATTCATTCTCGCTGGGGAGGCCGGTTGTTCTACGTTACCAACTTCTCTGCTTGCAGTCTCTTTTTCCATTTTGGAGGGGCCTACCCCTCCACAAGGTCCAATCCTTGTTTTGTCGTAGGCCGACAGAAGATCCAGCTATACGCTTCTCGATCTCTAGTCCAGTCGTCTTCCTGGATGTCCTGTTAGGTTCTTTCTTTTCCAGTCGTGGCTGCTGTCTTCCACTCCATCCTCCTATACTGTTTGCAGTTTTCCTTCCTTTCCTCGGATGTAGTGGCTCTTCTACATCTCGGCTCCTTATGCCCTTGCTGCATTCCAGTTTTGGCTGACGTCTCCTCCCGAACGTCTGTCCGCTCCAGATTTCTTATACCACACTGGGTCTGGTACAAACTTTTCTGGCTATGTTCCTCTTGCGCCATGCCACTGTTGCACGGCGGGATGTCTTTCTGTGTATTTGCATTTTCTGTGCCACTTCTGCACAGCGTGTTGTCACTCTGCGGGCGATGGCCAATTTCTTCTGGGGTCAACAATTTTTCCGCATCGAATCCTTCGCTTTCTGGCGGCGGCGCTCCATGGCCAGTTTTTGATCCCTGCGCCTTTTCTTCTTCGGTTCTCCGACCGGCATTACTTCAGCGTCTTCTACGGGTACCTCTTCTTTCTGTGCCACCTCAGGTTTCCTGTCCGGTGAGGTTGGCTTCTCCTCTTGACGTGCCTCCATTTCTTGGCAGGCCAACGACTCATCGCAGTTATCATTCCCCATCTTGTCTGTCATGGTGGCCATTTCTTCTCGCCATGCTTTCATTTCCTCGTGTCTGGCATCCACCTTTTCTTGCATGTCCCGCAGGAATTCCATTATTTGTTGAGAATCCATTTTTTTTGTCCGCTGTTTTTGTGTTTAAGTTCAATCCTGTCGGTCACATGTGTAAGTCCAATCTTTTAAGTTCGTCTCGGAATCCGAATTGATCCCGCTTCTAACACCAGTTATCACGTGTTGGGTGTGTCACGTGACAAATAACTTCACGTGGCTCTCGGATATAGCAAACCTTTATTGGACACTCACACTTATACACCATACGATTATCACCGCTTGTGGTATCATGTGATTTCTGTGACGTCTTGACTAGGTTCCAGCTGTGTTGTATGAAGGCTAGGTTCGAACTGCGTTGTATGAAGGCTAGGTTCCAACTGTCTTGTATGAAGGCTAATTAGCTCTATGTGGTCTGTAGCTCTGTCGCTCTCGGCTTGTGTAGGTGTTATGCGGACCAGATACGAGACACCATTTGCCAAGGTTTGATCTTACTTGTTCGGCAATCCGTTGCTTCGGGAAAGCTCTTTATACGCTGGTAACGAGTTTCATCTCATCTGTTGTTACTCAGTGGCAATTTATTGCTACGATTTGTCACCGTGGGATCTCCACAATTTCCATTGTAGCCATTGCACGGTGATGGACGTAAGATAGCTCGTCACAATACTATGTATTTACAGAGCTCCCTGTGGAAATGTAGAGGAATTTATTAAGCAATTCAAACTAATACTGATATGTGTTTGCAGGCCTAAACTTGAATTAATAATATGTGGAGACTTTAATGTAAATTTTTTAGGGAATTCAAGTAAATCTCTTCAGCTTATTTCACTATTTCAGACGTACAACCTGTTTCGGGTTGTCAAATTTCCAACTAGGATTACAACTTATACCAGTACTGTTACTGATAGTATATTTTTGAATTACAGCAGATTAAATACTTTACAGGTGTACTCAGTATTCAATGGGCTTTCAGATCACGATGCTCAGTATCTGACTGTTAGTAATGTTGTGAACCGCCAAAGGAATGAGTGTGGATTAGTTAAAAGAAGAGTTATATCTGAGTCTGGCACCATAACTTTTAATAAGATGTTGAGTAAGGAAACCTGGGAAAGTGTTTTAAGTAATCTTGATGTTAACAAAAGTTTTAATCTATTGTTTAATATCTTTTTAATGATTTTGGAAACATGTTTTCCAGCAAAATTTGTCAAAAATAATGTGTACTCTAACCAGTGGATCACTAAAGGAATTCAAATTTCATTTAAGCGAAAGAAGTATTTGTATTTGATGGTTAGATCTACTAATTACCCAGGCTTAAAGGAGTATTATACTCGATATTGTACATTGCTGAGAAAAAGTTATCAGAAGGGCTAAAGGTATATATTATGAGGGAATAATAATGGCTGCATCTAATAAATCCAAGAAGTCCTGGAAAATCATGGAGAGAGAAAATGGTAAAGAGTCAAAGAAAAAACATTCATATTCAGAATTGAGAGAAGGTAATGTAATAATCGATAGTAGGAATGAAGCTAAGGCATTTAACTCATATTTTTTTAATTCAGTTAACAAATTAGTTGGTCAGAGTTCTAATAATGTATGCTTTTACCACTTTCATGTGAGTACTCTACAGATAAGATTTCTGAAATTGTAAATATTCCAGTTACTGAGGCAGAAGTATTAAGCATGATAAATTCATTAAAAAATAAGTCTTCTTGTGGATATGATGGGTTGTCAAATAAAATTATTAAATTATGTGGTGAACAGACAGCAAAACCAGTTACTTATATTTATAATCTTTCTGTAAGTTCGGGCATATGTCCTGACCGATTGAAATATGCAAATATTATACCATGTTTTAAGAAAGGTGATGTTACTGAAATTGCCAACTATAGACCAATATCTTTATTGACAAGTTTCTCTAAATTATTTGAAATATTAATGTTTAGCACGCTTAAACAGCATTTTATAAGAAATGATATCCTGGCTCCTGAGCAGTATGGCTTTCATAAGGATGTTTCTACACAAACCGCAGTCTTTAGTCTAACTGATACTGTTCTTAAAACACAGAACAATAAGGAGTTCGTGGTAGGTATTTTTTGTGATTTGACAAAGGCCTTTGATTGTGTCAGTCATGATCTGTTGATTCAAAAGTTGAAGATATACAGAGTCAAAGGGCCTATTTTGAAATGATTGGAGACTTATTTAAAAAATAGAATGCAAAGAGTTGTGCTGCATACTTGTAATTCGACTGCTACAATCTCTGAATGGAAATCTGTAAGGTTTGGTGTTCCACAGGGATCTGTCCTCGGACCATTGTTGTTTAATGTTTATATTGTAACGTGTTTCGTTACTGAATACGCCGTAGAGGTCGTTAATTGGTTTATTGAACAATCTACAAGTAACGGCTACAATTACTTATCACACAGTTGCAGGGTTTCACACTTGATAAACCCAATCGCATTAATCTGTTACCAAGGTTACGGGTTTCCACACTTTACAAACCATACAACAAAATCTCTTCACACTATCTTGAGTAGTCTTCACATATTAATCACGCGGGAGCTATACAAGTCTCCCTGAATTACACACTTTCACTCATAACACGCCGCTGGCTAGATTCCAACTCTGCTCGCAGGCTGCTGCCTTGAGAACTATTAATAACACACTGACTCGTCGGCTTGCTCAGAACTCTCGGAGGTAGCTCGAGGACTGTCTTCGGCGATGGCCACGTTGAAACTAACTCGGCGACTGTTAAGTTACAACTAACTCGTAGCTGCTGTGCAGTTCACTTATATAGCCGCAGTGCTTGCCTGTTGCGTAATGGGTGCCACGTCATCCTGTTACATCACCACTGTTGACTCGCGTTGCATAGCTACCAGGTTGCGGGAGCTTGGCTCACTTTGCCTCCACTCGTGACGTCACCGCGGGGAGAGTGGCGGGGTGATGACTCGCCTATTATGCGAGCACTACGTTACCGCCACGTGCCGCTGGGGAGGTAGGGGTCCTTCGTTGCGCAACATGTCACAATATTAATGATTTCCCAGGTACTCTTAAGGATATAGCACGTACTATTTTGTACGCGAATGACACAGCGATTTTAATTACCTCAAACGACCTAAACTCTGAATATTAAGTTAAATAGAGTTATGACTAGGGTTTCAAGCTGGTTTTGAAATAACTATCTGATACTTAATTTGAGTAAAACTCACCTGATTAAATTTGTGACTCCTAATTTTCCAGAGTATACATTATCGGTAACATATAATAATTTTAGACTTAAAGATGTTGATAATGTTAATTTTTTAGGTATGTATTTAGAGTGTCAACTTAGTTGGAAAAAACAATCTGAAAAATTATTAAAGAAACTGAATACAGCATGTTTTATGCTCAGGAAGTTACAATCCCTTGTCAGTGAACAAGCTCTTCGAATGGTCTATTTTTCTTATGA